AATAAAAAATGGGGGTATCCATTTAAAAACATCATTGTGACCTTGACCTGATCTTTATGACGCAACTCAAGGTCAAACTGCTAATATCATAAAATAGATCTTTTTAAACCCTACAACTTTTGTATTTAACATTTTTTTATACAACGCTTTGTTTTCGAGATATTCAGGTGTTCTGGTATATAATATTCACCCTGTATAAACTCTTGTTTTCGTTATTATTACTTTTTTTTATTTTTATAAAAAAAGGAGTTGAAAACGATTAAAAGAATCACTATGTAAATTACAAACGTGACTAATCACGTGTACGTTTAGTGCAAAACAACTTATGTATGACCTTACTGCCATAGTAAAAGGAATGAGGCAGCAATCAATATAAAAAACCACGGCCGTGAGCAAGCGACAAGTTTGAATGCGACTGCAGCCGCAAACAGTAAGCAGTCGTGATATTACATTAAACGTCGAAGCGAGATATTTACGCAAATATCTAACATAGTATATTTCATTTCCTAGAAAATATAAATAGTCAATGACTAAGTGGTTTTATTTGCATTCCTATTAAACAAATAGGATCAGTTACATTTCATCAAAACGATTAATAAAAAATTTAGGAACATGTGACAGTGAAGTTGGGGAAAATCTTATAGAAATTACGAGTTCTAAGTCTAAATGATGTGTCCCGTAAAGTATATTACTCTCGAAGAAAAACTAAAGAAAAATCCAGAACTAAAGTTGTCAGACATACAGATTCTAAATAAGAGAATGATGCGAAAAATAACCGCATTTGCCGAAAATCCAAGACTTAGAGCTCGCTATATTTCTATATCTCAGTTGCTGTCATATATAGACGAAAAACACAATCGAGAATTACTATACTTATAAAATTTACATACTGGAAATATTCTCTAACAGAGACATACTGAAAGTGAAACGACTGCAAAATGCTTTTGAAGTCATGTAAGTACAATATTTCTCTGTACTGACCGATAAATGACTTGAATATATGCGTAACTTATTATTTATATAAGCATAAAATATCCCTTACAAAAAAATAGTATTAATGGTAATAGTGTCACTAATAGTTTCACTAGCAGTGCTAGTAGTGTCACTATTAGTGCTAATAGTGACCCTGTTAGTCACAGTTTTAGTGATGATAATGACATTATTAATGTTAATAGTGGTAATGTTAGTGACATTAATAGTACTAATTGTAACATTATTAGTGCTGATAGTGACACTACTAGTATTAGCAGTGATACTATTAGTGACACCAGTAATGTCAGAAGTGACACTACAAATGCCAATAGTGGTAATACGAATATTATAAGTTGATGAGCTGATGTGTATAAGTATGTAAACTTTATTATTATTATAGAAAAACTATAAAAGATAATTCATTATTAAATATACATTTATATAAATAAATTTATAAGGTTATTAAATATTATTTTTCCTGTATAAAAATTTAAAATATTTATTTTCTATGACAATTATATTTCTACCCAATTAGCAGACAATGTTTTTTAAACATTTTTTAAATATTTATTTTTCATCGATATTACATTGTACAGTTTATTGTAAAAATAATATTTATTTAATATTTATTAAACGTTTATATATTATTGATTAAACATTTAAAATAAAGATTTGTAAATTTTCTGTGTAAATTACAAGATACCCTGTATAGTTATTAATATATGTAATATTAGTAAGTAATTAAAGTATAATAATTTACTACAATATTTAATAATTGTATACAAGATGTTTAATTATTAACATACAATTGTTAACAATTTAATCTTGTAATTTACATAGAAAAATATTTATATAATATTTATTTAAAGGTTATTTGACATTAAATAAAACGTTTAAAATAATATTTAAAGAAACATTTACTTAATATATTGATTTAATATTTGTATTACATTAATTAAACATTTAAAATAATATTTAAATAAACATTATTTTAGTATTGATTTAATATTTATTTTTGAAACATACTTTTACATTTAAAAAAATCTATTTTTTTCTTTTTAATAAATCAATTGTTTTTTAACATGGATATACCATATGTATACAATATAAATTGTCTTTCAGAGAAAGTAACAGTGGCGCAGTGGGTAAGGTGAACGACAAGAAGCAAAGATCTCAGGTTCTCGAGTCCTAGCATTCGTAAACAAATTTTCGAAATACAATTTTAATTGAATTAAGTAGCGTGTGAAACAATAAAGTGGAAAATATAAGGAAAATTCAAGAAAAAAGAAAAATATTTATATTTTTATAAATATTTTTATAATATTTATAAATGTTTACGTAAACGTTTAATAAATATTTAAAAAACATTTATTAAATCGTTTTCTTCAAAACATTTGAAAAAATGTTTTTTTAATGAAAAAGAGTGAACTTAACCCATTGTTTTTAACGTTTTAAAAGTAACTACTAGAACTATTACCACTAACCACTAAACCACTAATAGTGTCACTAATAGTGACACTAATAGCGAAAAGGTCATTAGTGCTATAGTTCTAACAGTGCCACTAATAATACTTTTTCATAAGGGATACTTGCGTTAATATGCATTAAAACTACTTAAAACGAATTGTTAATAGGGTAAGTTATAATAAATTATATTTGGATAAGTATTGCATTTATACGGTCATGATTTTGGCATATGTGATCGGAATTATTATCCTGAATAACACTCAACAGATTTCAGCTGTCGCTCATTTTCCATTAAATAATTATTTATAATAAAAGTTTGATGAAAGTATCAGATATATATATATATATATATATATATATATATATATATATATATATATAT